CGTTTTATTCTAGTATACACAAAATAATAAATTTACATTCCGCGCCTCGTAAACACACGCGTCATTTAAAATTCACATCATTTTTTAATGCACATACATTTAATGCACATACATACACACATCAATAATTTTTAAACACACACGTGGTTTTAAAACATACACCATTAAAACGCACAGTCATGTCACGTTTTTAAAATGCACACATCATTTTAAAACACACACGCCACGGCCTTCAAGACGTACGTAATTTTGAATTATTAGTACGTTTTATTCTAGTATACACAAAATAATAAATTTATATTCCGCGTCTCGTAAAGTACGAAATGAAAATTTTTCCTCGGTTTAGACGAGAACGCTAACTATAATCTCCTTTACAAAATTACTCGAAAAAACGCAAACTTTTTTAAGACGTTTGAATATTTTCACTTCTTTCATTAACTGGTGTCCGCATGTTGCCTGTCTACCATTTTTAATCACAACAATCACGTCCCAGGATTCATTCAATCATAAATGGACAAAACGAACGCGCCCCTGGTCTATTTTATTTCATTACGAATGCCACGCCTTTATATTGTCACTGTGGGGTCGGTCAAGGACCCTCTATATGTTCAGTAAGACTCGTTTTACGTATTTGTTTCCAGATCACAGAAACATACCAGAAAGCACTGCGTAAATTGTGATCACAAACCACAAAATAGTCTTATATAAGGTGACAGTACATGTCCGACTGGTATACTCGCCGATAATTTTAAAGAGTTGGCTATCTGAATACAGAAAATGAAACATTTTCCATTTCTACCGACAACTGTCCGTCGACAATTACAACAACTACGGAAGAAACTCGGCTGGCGTGAAGTTATTGAGGTTCATGTGTATATCGTTACTTGTCATAACCGTCATTTCTCTAATATGACAACTACTTTGCATAAATTCAAATAAATCTCTCTAATTTGACAGGCCAGACTTTTTTTATTCCTTGTTTCTCGGGCAATTTATAAAGCAAATTTTTTGAGGAGGGCGGAAGAAATAAAATTAATTCTTTTTTGCCATTAGATTTGTGTGATTCTCAAGGAATTGTAAGTGAGATCATTGATCGGAGAGAAGAAATGAAAATAAAATTCCATGTATAACCTTGTTTCTCATCTGCACGATACTTCGGTACTTCGATCATGATACTCCCACGAAAATACAACTTGAATTTGTTATGTGGCGGTCGGTAAAAAAATGAAAATAAAAATAATATTTTTTAGCAATTTTTTGCGCTTACAAGTCGGCGGGCGCGGGAAATTACGCTGAAATAATTTTATTTTTATTTCATTTTCGACTCCTGTTCATTCTGTGGGTTCGCGAAACAAGGGATGAGATAAAAGTCTGGTCTTATTGAAAAACTGTCACAGATCCGAGGATTGGCCATGCACGCGGGAGCACACAATGAATGGTGATGACAATGTGCATACAGTTAACTAAGCTATTTTTATTCTCCAACCTCATCAACAGATGTTCATACTTAGAAATTAACATGGAATTTGTCACCCTCTGATAAATCGGAATGTGGCTTTTGATTTATTCAACTATACTTACAGCTGGGTCATTCAATGACATGCCTCGCAAATATTACGTGGTTCCACCTAAATGCCTTCCACCTAAATACCCCACCCTAATGCCTAGATACCCCACCCTAATGCCTAGATACCCAACCCTAATGCCTAGATACCCCACGCTAATGCCTAGATACTCAACCCTAATGCCTAGATACCCCACGCTAATGCCTAGATAGCCCACCTGAATGTCTAGATACCCAACCCTAATGCCTAGATACCCCACCCTAATGCCTAGATACCCAACCCTAATGCCTAGATACCCCACGCTAATGCCTAGATACCCCACCCTAATGCCTAGATACTCAA